CTATACTCATGGCGGAGTGTGTGGTATGACAAAAGAGACCCATCGAAGGCCATGGCTATGTCGTTATTTGGCATCATTCGTGAGGCACCACAATCCTGAAGCCAAATTTTCTGCTCTTCAGATCTCGTGCAATGCTCCGGTGTCATTGCATAGGGATAGTCACAATGAAAAACATTGCTGCAATTATGTGTGTGGCTTTGGTGACTATAAAGATGGTCAGCTGTGGGTTGAGGATGAAAAGGTTTTGGAGGAAGGAGCTGAAGTGGTGGAGCAATCCTATGGGAAGAAAGTCTTACCTGGAAAATTGGTGGATATCCACTGGAACTTCATGTCGTTCTTTCCGAGAAAACTGCATGGTCCTATGCCTTGGAAAGGGAACAGGGTATCCTTGACAGGGTACACACCTGTTTTTATGGAGCGTTTGAGCTACAAGGATAGGTGCTATCTTCTCCAATGCAAGTTTCCTCTTCCGGAACCACAAGCTGAAGAAGGTGAAAAAAGGAAATGGTTAAAAATGACGCTGAAAGAAACCTCGCTGGACGACCTTGCAGAGGAAGTCGACTACGCTGTGTTCGAAGCGCATCAATGGGCTCTAGAGGAGCATTTGAGTATTCGACGCCTAATTGCTGAACAGGAATGTTGCATTTTGGACGAGTTCCATGGATCGGCCAATGAGTCGAATGAGGAAAAAGGATCAGAGACTAGAGAATGGCTGGTTAAAGCAAAAAGGGCTGAGGAACAGCTCTCGAAGTTTTTGGTCAAAGCAGCTCAAGTTCAGCAAATGGTACAAGAAAATACTGCGCTTGAGGCAGCAGAGGAGGTTGAGTTCCTGCAAACAAAAACAATCCCTACACAAGAAGCCATGCAAGAGCTGGAAAGTGGAGGGAATCATTGTCGGACGAGGTGACGTCTTTGGTGAAAGAGTTGGAGGTGGTACTTGGCGGAAGAGCCTAATGCACCGGTGATTGAGTACGTTCCCAGTCTGGTGGTGTTTACCCGGAAGCAAGGGACAGGGAGGCGACGTGCCCGTATCTGTGCATGTGGAAATTTTATTTCGTCAACGGCAGCTACAGAATACGAAGGGCCGAGGTCCCTCAGTCGTCACTCGCTGTACGCTCCAGGTTTAGATTCAACTACATTCAGGTGTCAGGTGAGGCACGCAGCATATATGGTGTGGATCATCGCTGGCTTAGACATTTCCAAAGCTTTTCTGACGGCGCCGATGAATAGGGCGCAAAGAGAAGGGCGTCTGGTGGTGGTGCAGCCCCCAAGGGCGGCGGTGAAATTGGGTCTTTGCACAAAGGAGGAGCGGTGGATTGTGAGGAAGGCCTTGTACGGGTTGGCCGAAAGTCCTGCAGCATGGGTGGAGTGGCGAGACCAACGTCTTCAAGGTATGTCTTGGGTGTCAAAGGAGGGACAAGCAATGAGCTTTCAGAGGTCCAATGCAGACCCAAGTCTGTTCCTTATTATGGCACAAGAAAAGCCGGAAGGTGCAAGCAAATTGGTAGGGACAATGGGTCTTTACGTGGATGATTTTTTGATGGCTGGGACTATGACAGTGCTCCGGGAAGCCTTGGAACAGATCAGGAAGGAGTGGAAAACTTCTGAACCCGAGTTCTGTGGTCCAGGCTGTGGTGATGGATTCCTGAAGTTTTTGGGTGTCCAAATCTGGTATCGAAATGGCAGCTTTTTTCTCAACCAGGAGGACTTCGTGAGAGATTTGCTGAACCGACGAGGGTATCAGATCGATGAAACTGGAAAAGGGAGTAACCTGCCAATGGTGAAAGAAACTCCAGTGGTTTGGGGTGATTGCCCAGTGATGTGGGCAACGCAGAGACAATCAACGGTGGCTTTAAGTACTGCTGAAGCTGAATTACATGCGTCCATAGAGGGAGCAACGATGATTCAGTCGTGCACCCCTATAATTGCCGCTTTGGTTGGAACCGGTGAAGAATCGCTGCAAAAGTGCTGTATACAGATTCGGTTTCGACATGCTCAATCATTCAATATCCGGCTGGAAGCTGGAGGACAAGACACCTGAGAATTCGAGCAGCCGGTGTCAGGTCTCTGGTAGACCATGGTTATATGGTGATCGCGCACCTTCGCGGTGAGTATATGATCGCTGACCTGTTGACCAAATTGATGAGTGGACAGGTGTATGCAAAGCAAAAGGCACTTTGGGGTCTCCGACCGTTGGTACAAGGGACTGACTTGAAGAGGGCCTCGCTTGCAATGGCGGTCATGATGGTGGCTGCATCTCTGCAAGGGATGGCAACTGGTGGAGAAGAAGTGTCAAATGCTGGTTTCTTTTGCTCAGAAGAAGGGGTGTGCAAGGTCGCCAACACATCTACGGTTATGGTTCTGGCTCAAGGTATTGAAATGCTCCTCAATAATTCAGACCTTGTTGCGTATTTGGTGGCAGCAATTATACTCTGGGAGTTGGCATGGTGCCTCTTTCGGCAGCTGTATAAAAGGCTGTGGGTTAAGAAAGTGGTGGTTATTCCTGCGAGTGCCACTTTGTATACAACAGTGGGTGGGAACTGTATGCACGCAAGCAGTGACTGTGATGTTCTGCGATATTCACAGCCCAGGGCTAAGACGCTTTGTAAGCATTGCCTCAAGGATGGCTGGGTGGTGAATGCCGAGTTCCTTGGTGAGGAACGGGCCGCTGGAACGTGAGTTTTTCAAGTGCGAGGTGAAGAAATCCTCAATGGTAAGGGATTCGGCCAATGAGCTGAAGGTTCGTCCTGGATGACGTAAAACCATAATGTGCATTTCAAGCAGCTGGCTGCTGCCTAAATGGCGCTTTTTGGCCAAAGGTCTGCACCTCCAATGTGTCCTAGGAAATCCTAGGACAGGGGGAGTGCGGAGCTGCAGTTGGTATTGTAAAAAAAGAGTTGATGTTGGAAGGTGAAGGGGTCAATGTACCCGGCACAAATTTTTGGCTCAAGGAACTTGGGCATGCGCCCTGAAGAAAGAAGTGTGTGTTGGTTTGGTGTTGGTTGGTCCAGGGGATCAAGGGCTTCTGTTGGGGTTGACTGTTTTGTTCCCTGTCCTCCTTCGGTTGCCCCCCGTACCCTAAACCCTAAACCCTAAACCCTGAACCCTGAACCCTAAACCCTAAACCCGAAACCCTAAACCCTAAACCCTAAACCCTAAACCCTAAACCCAAACCCTAAACCCTAAAGCCTAAACCCTAAACCCTAAAGCCTAAAACCCAAACCCTAAAACCTAAACCCAAGCCCAGTTACCCTGGTAGGCCAGCTGGAAAGCAGCAACCGGCACCACGCGGCATCCGGCCGGAGGACTGAACAGCTCTGCCAGGAGCTCCTTCATAGGCTTTTTGAGGGTTTTGGGTTTAGGGTTTTTAGGGTTTAGGGTTTAGGGTTTAGGGTTTAGGGTTTAGGGTTTAGGGGTTTGGGTTTTTCGGGGGGTTAGGGGTTTTAGGTTGTTAGGGTTTTTAGGGTTTAGGGTTGCTGGTAATCCAGTTTAAGGATATCAAGGATAGACTATGGTTGCGGGCTGAGGGCTGCTGTTCTACGTTTCTGTCCTCCACTTTTTAGACTTCGACCTCAGGGTACAGCAACCCCCCCAAACCCTGGCCCTACCCAGAAACCGAGAAATGTATCTACCACACCGCCGACCTAGACTGTTTGAATCATACAGTGGATGATGGTACCCCTGAGAAGGCCTCCCCCCCCTCGACCCTGCATGCTGAACCCTAGATACAATGTAGATCATATGTGGTCAAAATTATGATCCCTGTTTGGGGTACCCTAAGTATTCGGTGCCGCATTATAATAAGGATCCACAAACGGACCATCATTTTGACAACCACCCCTAAAATGGGCTACCTTGAACCCTAAACCCTAAACCCTAAACCCGAAACCCTAAACCCTAAACCATAAACCCTACTTAACTTTGGGGCTTAGGGCTTCGTGCTTTCCATCCTGCGGCACGGTGACGTCCAGCCCACAGATGCCGAACTCCAGGTCTCCGGGCATTGAGGCCGCCATGAGCTGCGCCCCTACACCCTAAACCCTAAACCCTAAACCCTAAACCCTAAACCCTAAACCCTAAACCCTCCTCCCTCAAGCTACTTGGAGGTTCAGGGGTGCTTATCACCCTAATGAAAACTGTACTTAGAAGCCCCCGAAGTCCCCAAAGTAGGGTAGAAGTCGATTTAGAATTGTGGTTATAAGTACCCATGAACCTCCAAGTGGACCCAAGAGTAGCCTAGAAACCAAAAAAGGTGCCCTTTTTGGTTTAAAGGGGCGGATAAAGGGGAACCTAAACCCCACGAAAAGGGTAAATCAGGGGCGACTCTAGGTCCCAGACACCCTACCCCTGCTCTAGCCTAGACTACGCACCTGATATCAACCCTACACCGTAACCTTCATGGCCATATCCCTCAACCCTAGAAACCCTAGAAACCCTACGCCCTAACATTCATGGTATTTTTTTGTGAAACAACAGAGTGCTGAAACCTTTGAACAAGGTCTTGAAGATCTCGACCCATATTCCTCCTGAACCCCTACAACACCCCTCGCAGCCCCAGAAGCTTCCCACTGATGACATCTTTGCCAAGCCTAGCTCACACAAACTGCTGCGATGCTCCTGCACCAGTGAGAACCTTCAGATGATAATATATATATATGTATATATATATGTATATATATATATATTGTGCGTTGCCTTGGGGGCTTTACCGGAGCAAAGATCCACACACATAATTCCACAGGGGGCTTGAAGGTGAGGATGTATGCTCGAGCTTTCCTGTGAGCCTGCAAAAATCGAAATGACAAAGAAGACATCGTTGTGCAGTGCAGTGCTCAAGACACGCCAAGACACAAGTAAAGGCAAGACCTTGTCAAGCTCAGCATCTCACATCAAGCCTGCTGCAAACAATGCAAAGAGTTCAACTCCTGGGGCTTCACCGTCTTTACGCGTGGCTCAAAGGCGCTCAGATACCAAAGGACCCCGCTTCAGCTTAGGCGCTGCTAGGCGCAGCCCGCCGCGTCCTCCAACTCGACCTGGGGGTTTCCGAAAATAGGGGGGTACCCTTCTTGGGGGGTCCCTTTAAGGGGATTCTATTCTATTTGAGGTATAGAAAAGGGTATTTAAGCACCCACCTTGTAGATGAAGGGATCTTCGTTGCCAACCATGGAGCCATATCTGCCCTCGCGTGGAGGCAGCTCGTAGCGCGCCGCGAGCGCATCGAAGAAAGCGCGGTAGTTTGCGGCCTCCACGTCCAGCATCTCATACTTACCATCCACCTCCCAGTCCGAGAAACCTTTCCCATCCATCTTCCGCTTTCGGACTTCCTCCGCCAAGCGAGGAAAGGGGCCATAGAATTGGCCCCGCCTCTCTTCGTCCTGCCAGCTGCGGTAGGGGTGCGTTGCGTTGAGCCAGGCCACCAAGTCCTGGGTGTTCATGCGATAAAGAGGGTCGCTGATGAACTGCGAGACGTTTCTGACGTTGAAGAGGAGGTTGGGGAGCACGAGCCACTCCTTTTCCTTTGGATTCCACTTGGTGGCGTCTTTCCCATGGCGGGTACGGAAGTGGATGTGGATGGGAAAGAACAGGTTTTTCTGGATGCACATCGGCCGGCAGCTCGCTGGCTGGTGATTGCTGTGCAAGAACTTGTAAGAATGCTGCTCGTTGCTGGTGGTGGACTGGAAATATGAGAATCCAGTCGCCTGTCCTTGCGCTGCCTTCGCACGAAGCTCCTCCAGTTTCTCACTGGACACCCAGGCGCCGCGCCACAGACTCTTGCACTTCTTGCTGGCCGGAAGTTTGTTGACTGCAATGCCAAGGTTCACTTCGAAGTCAAGAACTGACCGGACCAAAGACACATAGCTTTCGTCTACAAATCTGGTGGCTCTGTCCTCAGGACGAAGTGGTGGAAGCAACCCACGCCCAAGGAGTCCCACGGCGCGAGAGAAGCCATAAGAGCCCAAATGATTTTCCAAAGTCTCCCGCTCCTTGGGAGTCAGACTGGCGCCTTGCTGCGTTGCGTCCCACCAGTCCACGGCCTCCCAAGCCGAGGGCTGCTCAACCTCCTTGCGAAGCTCCGCCCTCCGCCCGCAAAACGACACTTCGACGCCTTCGGCGCCCTTGGAAAGATTGCGCACTTGGGCCCTCCGGAGCTCTTTGTAGTCACAGTTGGTGAGGGCTGATGTTCTTACAGCCTCCGATGCTGGCAGCACCAACAACGACGCAAGGAGCAGCCGAGCTGCGCCCATGGGCGAGCTAGTCGATGTATGGGTAACAGACCACGAAACATATGGCTTGAGCAATGAATGCTCAGCATCAAATTTAGGGTGTAGGGTTTGACGTTCAGGGTCAAGGGGTTTAGTTTTTCCAAAACCTTAAAACCAAGAAACTTGCATATGGGTGTCTACAGGGGGCAATAGTCCGCCGACGCCTCGGGCCGAAGGTGTATAGGTTGTCAGAACAGGCACCCCCCTCCAAATCTTTTTTACCTGAAATGGGTACCCCACCCCCCACCCCCCCAACACCCCCCCCGACCCCCCCCCCCCACCCGCCCCCAAAGCCCCCCACGAGCCAATCCTAAAAGCCGTTTGGTTGCTTTCCTGGAGCGGGACGCTCTGGCTGAAGGTCCGAGGCTCAGCTGGTGTGAGCACGGCCGGGTGCATTAGGTTACACGAATCCTGCCCAAGCCGAACCGTCAAAACCCTGAATCTTGAACCTTGAAACCCCTCGACCCTAAACCCCAAACCCGAAACCTTAAGTGCTATGCACTCAACCCTCAACCCTCAACCTTAAATTCTAGATCCTGAACCCTAAACCCTTCACCATCCTAAACCCAACCCTTATTCGGGGGTTCATCGACTTGGGCAGGACTGGCTCTTGCACTGACCGAGCGAAGGCCCCGCCCAGCAGGCCCCCCCCCCCCCCCCCCCCCCCCCCCCCCCCCCCCCCCCCCCCCCCCCCCCCCCGCTGCCCCGACCCCCCTCTCGCTTGAGGGTTTGAACCCTAAACGCGAAACCCCAAACCGTGAACTAACTAACCCTCAACCCTAAACCCAAACCATAAACCATAAACCCGGAACCCTAAACCCTAAACTTCCCTAAACCCAACCCTTATTGCTTGGGGTCCAGCGACTTGGGCGCTGCGGAATCACCATGCTCACGCGGATGCGCTGGGCCGGGCCGAGGCGGGTCGCGCAGCGTTAAAATTACAGTATAGGCTTCCTTTCTATTGAGGGTGGATATACAATTGGAACTCTATTTGAGACAGCCAGATATCTCTACCCATGTAAGTATAGACATATACGGCTTTACTGATATATGGACATGTAGCTAGATAGGATGTGGCTGTATGGCTATGCCGATATAGAGATACTGCTAGTGAAGTGTACTAATGCTAGTTCCTCATCCTCATCTGGCACGGCTGAACGGAAGAAGAACGAACCACAATTTGTGTAAGGCAAAGCACGGTGTTGCTGCCTTTTCCCATTTCCACACAATCCGAGCATCTAAACCGAATGAAGGCAGCCAGATCACGTCTACGGCGGGGTTTTCAGAGAAGGCCGGCTGGTCAACACCTTGCGTTTGTCGATTCGCATCCTCAACTCTGCAAACACATGCCAAAGCCTCAGGTGCCACGTGGCAACTTCAACTATTGAAAGGCCAAGAGGATCAGTGTTTTCTGAAGCTTAGGCTCTAAGGCTTGTAGCACCTGGGGTTAAGGTCTAAGGTTTAAAGGCTCTAGAGGTGTGGCACGCAAGACTAAACACTGATGGACACCTAAACCCTACAACCCTGTTTTGCTGAATCCCGTCTGCGAACCTAAGCCCTTAGCCCTACACCCAAGCGCAGTGACGGTGATCCATCTGCATCACATATGGCCAGTGTTCAAAGATGGTTGGGAAGGTGCGGAATTTCGTGCAAGGCAACGGTCAGTTTGCCCATCAACCTTGGCAGTTTCAGGGGCCTTTGGGCTTAGAGAGCCTCAAGGCCCAAGCCAAAACCTCTGAAGCCCCCACCTTGCTCATAAGCTCGATGGGGGAGCTCTCCACCTGAAGCGCTGTAGGGGCAAAATCCTAAACCCTAAACCCGAAACCCGAACCCCAAACCCTAAAACCCAAACCCTACACCCTAACTAGGGCGAGAGGGGGGGGGGGGGGGTGGTGCGTGGGTGGGTGGGTTGTACAGTTCAGGGTTTTTGGTTGGGATGTTCTCCCCCTATACGAACAGTCCTTCATCAGGATTACAATAGGGGTAACTAGAATCCCTATTGCCTCTTTGTGTACTCGAAACCTAACCCTAAACCCTAAACCCTGAACCCTAAACCATAATATTCATGATGAGGCCTTGGTGTTCTGGAGCTCCTCGTGGGAGGCGCTCAGCCAGAGTCAGGGAAGGTTTTAGGGTTTAGGGTTTAGGGTTTCGGGTTTCGGGTTTAGGGTTTAGGGTTTAGGGTTTAGGGTTTAGGATTTAAGATTTAGGATTGCTAGCATTCTCAAGGAGGACACCCAATAAACCTACACACTCACCTGAAGCCATAAACAACCCCTTGCCCTTCTACAAAATGCAAAAATCCCTGGTCTGCGACAGAGAGGTGTGGCCTTTTTCGTGTCGGTTCCATTCGGAATAAGAACGCCGCATATCATTGAGGCCCAAACTCGGCAATGCAGACTTCAATGGGTTTGAGAGCTTAATCCGACGACGAGAAGGTTCTAAGTTCTGTGTAGGCCTTGTAACCCTAAACCCTAAACCCTAAACCCTAAACCCTAAACCCTAAACCCTAAACCCTAAACCCTAAACCCTAAACTGTAACTATGATTGCAATCGTTCGGCCCCGCGAGACTTTTAACGCCCCGCTGCTGCGACGCTAACTAAAAATCCGTGAGACAAAGATCGACCTCAAGAAGATGCTCGCGCTGCCGGCAACTGAGCAACAGATGAGATCCTTGGGGACCACATGAACCCTAACAATGGGGTCATATGCTCTATACTACCAGAATTCCGATGACGGTTCATATGAGCCATGAAGCCTTACACAGAAGCAGAATGGGGGGGGCTTCCGAAATTAGGGAGTACCTTATCAGGGTCCTTATCAACAGGGGATCCTACTATTTGGGGACAAGATTGGGGTCCCGTATTTTCGTAAACCCCCAGATGAGATGATGAGCTCAATTGATTTCACAAGGCCCCAATTAGTCGGTTTCAAGGTTGGTGTGGTGATTGAAGCTCGAAGGCCCAGGCTAGAAGGATCTGAAACCCTAAAACCCCTAAAACCAAAAAACTCTGGACCCTAAACCCTAAACCCTGAACCCTATACCGACATGTGCTGGCAACTCTGGAAGAGTCGAGCAAATTCACTGTTCTGCTGGATTCCGAAGAGGTGCTGCAACTGGGACGCTCGGCCTTGTAAGTCAGTGAAATCTGAGTTCAGTTCTAGGGGCTGTTTAGGGCAAAGAAACCTGAACTTGCAGCTTTTTCAGAATCTTAGCGGGCTCCATACTGCCTCATTCGAGTGCGTGCGGAGCGCGTACCGTTGGATTGACGCATCTGCCTGGGCAGCTGCTCTCGTCGGCCACCGGAATCTCTCCAAGGTGCCATATAACGAACCTCATCAAAAGACCTCCACGCCTTGCCTAGACCATAGGCCCTATGAAAACCTACGGCTCCTTAACCAAACACCATCCATCCTAAGTTGTGCAAAAAATCGGGCCCGCAGCGACCTGCAGCTGCAGCCGCCAGGACTCGCGAGGTCTGCGAAAACTCTCTACGACCTGGTACTGATTTGCCTGGCGCTCGCAGCGCAGAAGCAAGGTCGCCAAAAGCACCGAAGCCTTTTGGTGGAAAGAAGTGAGATTAGGTTCGTCAAGGGACTACAGGAGGGACCCTGATAAGGGACCTTATTGCTTCTTTGGGGGCGACTGAGGGTATATAAGGGACCAGAAAAGCTATTTATATATAGGGGCTACATCGGGGAATCAGACTAAGGGTCTCTTCGAGGGCTCCCTCCTTCTACCCCTTGAGGCTCTTCTCATGCCTGACCACTCATGAAGCATGAGGCTGGGAGGTCTCTAGTTTTCATCATATAGGACAAGGAACTAGCCGATAAGCCCCCTGGATCATCCTCCCCAGGGCTTGATTTAGGGCCTGTAGGGTTTAAGGGTTTAAGGGTTTAAGGGTTTAAGGGTTTAAGGCAAGGCAAGGATAGCGTTTAGCGTTTAGGGTTTAGGGTTGAGGGTTTAGGGTTTTGGGTTTAGGGTTTTGGGTTTTGGGTTTTGGGTTTAGGGTTTAGGGTTTAGGGTTTAGGGTTTAGGGTTTAGGGTTTAGGGTTTAGGGTTTAGGGTTTAGGGTTGGACCTTTAGGGCTTAAGGGTTTAAGGGAAGTTAAGGGACTGAGAAGGCGGAGACCTCCCAGTGAACGCCAAGCCCTGGGGCCTCTGACGCTTGGCGTCTGATTTGGTGTTGGTGCTTTCGCCGCGTAGGTGGCACGAAGGTACACCAGATATCCGAAGGGGAGCTGCTTGGAGGTTCATGGGTACTTACAACCACAAGGGTTTAGGGTTTAGGGTTGAGGGCTTAAAGTTTAGGGTTTAGGGTTTAGGGTTTCTAAATATACCTGTAACCTACTTAGGGGACTTAGGGGGCTTATAAGAACAGTTATGGTTGGGGTTATAAGTACCCTGAACCTCCAAGTGAGCTGGGCTCAAGACCCTAGCACGCCTAGCCCGAGAAACCTTTGACCATAAGCCCGAAACCCTAAACCCTGCACTCCAACCCAGATACATTCTCTAGCCGGGTGGCCTGCCTGAAATCGAAAGCTCAAGGTTCGTGCTAGCTTGCTACTTAGCCCTAAACCCTAAACCCTAAACCCTATATACTCTTCCCAGCGAGGGACCTTAGTTGCAAGGCGTGCTCAAGTCAGCGTCCGCTGCTCTGCGCGGCCCTTCTTTAAAAGGCACCCCGCTAGAAGTCAAAATCATCGACTGACATTGCCGGATACCAGAAAGCCCTATAGCGCCCTCTATAGCCTACTATTTGCTTAAGAACCTCAAAAGAATAAAAAAAAAAACAATAATCCCTATATTGCCCTCATAAGGAAGAATGTCTTCTATTTTTTGGGGGTTCTTAAGCAATTACTAGTAGCACAGAACAGAAAGGCCACGGCCTCAGCAATTTGCCTCCTATTGACAAACAGCTTCAAGCTGAAAGGTGGTTGCTTCCGGCCTTCTCTGCAAGGGAACCCCTACAATTTGGGGACTCGTTTTGGGGGTCCCCAATTTCGAAAACCCCCCATATCTTCACATGGACACGAGGTCTTCTTCGACCTGGGCCGCGTCGCTTCGCTCCGTATCCAGGACCACGAGGTGCGCATCTCCGGTGTTCTCGGAGGAGTCTGTCCCCCGCGAGGACCCCCTCTTGAAGTCGGCGCCAGGCGTCACATCCCCCTCAGAAGGAGGCGCAGATGGAGAATCGCCGCCTTTCGACATCCTCAGGGAGCCCCATTTGGAGCCTTTTGACTGCAGGCGAAAGGCGATCTGCCTGGCCCGGAGCTCCAGATCCTCCTGCGTGCTGGAGTAGGACTGTGGGGCAAAGACGGTGGCGATCTCCTTGAAGATGCCCTGGACGACCTCGTTGTAGTTGAAAGTTCGCTCATCTTCATGATCCCCCCCACTTTCGAAGCCGTTGGGGACCACGAACCCGGGCTCTGCGATGATGGGGATCACCATGCACTCCATCTCCGCCAAGTCCAAGAGCCAACTCGAGAGGTGAAAGGAGAGAAGGCAGCCGGTGGAACAAATCAGGAGTGCCTTCCTTGCGCTGCCTGGAATTCCCTGGCCTTTGCTCAAAACACAGGGCAAAGAGCACCGCATATCCTTGTTCACCGAGAGTAGAAGCAGCTCGTGCAGTATGTACGCTGTGGCCACGGCCTCCAGGTTGTCGGGATCCGCGAGAATTATGCAGTCAGGGAACAGTGGCTCCTCGACGCGCGGCGCCACGGTCCGCGTCAGCAGGTCGCAGAGACGTGCCATCCTCTCCAGGTTCGGTGTTGGTGGCATGGGAATCGTCTCCAGCGTGCTGAGCCACGTCAAGGTCTGAGACACATCTTGTAGTGAGATGCCATAGCTGGCTAAGACCTCGATGCCAGGAATCGCGAAAGTCAGGTTCCGCCGGAAGCGCTCGTCAGGTTCCTGAAAGCCTGGCCATCGTAGCATGACGCTGCGCACGCCATGTATCTTGGCGTTGACGAGCTCACCGACACACCATTTCCGCCGCTCGATGCCAGGGGTAGCCAAGAACACCAAGGTGTTGGTGTCCCGCACAAAGCTGAACAGCTTCGTGAGGTCCCGCAGGTTGTCCGTGTCCATGAAGGTCGTGAACCGAGAGCTTCTCTTCAAAAGCTGGATCTTCAACAGGCGTGCAAAGGCCCCTGAGGTGCTCTTCTGGTGGGAGAGGAAGAAGTGCCAAGGCTTCCGATGCCCCCGAACCACATGCAGGATGAGGCCATAGGCCACAGCACCAAGGACTGCCAGGCCCATCCCAAAGAGGAAGAGCACGCACACGACGATCGACGTGGCTCTGTCGGCCTCGCTTCCGGCGAAGGTCGAAGCCATGTCTAGAACGACTAACAGGCCCACGTGCAATATGACGTCCAGGGCATTGCCGGCTGCGAAGCGCCATGGGTGGATGAGAGCGGCCACAACCAGACTCGAGTAGAGAATCATGTTCATCGCGACGATTTGGGCCGCATTCGAAGGTAAGAGCGGGACCAAAGCGATCAGCCCATTTCTCGCGAGGTACAACACTGAGTAGAGCTCCGCCCCTGGCCGGAATCGAGACCAGATGAAGGCGCAGGCCCGGAAGTAAGCCGCGTCAGCGCGAAGGAGTCGCTTGGGCAACTCCACCCACGTCACCCACGTACAGAGCGCCAGGAAGCTGATGGGCATCAGGCAGGCGAGGCCCCCGATAATGGTCATCTCCAGATGCTCGCCTCGCACGTTGCAGAAGACAGAGTGGTACTCCTGCACAGTGAAGAGCCCATTCGGATGCTCGTTGCACTCAAAGGGCGTCAGCATCTCCGTGAAGATGGCAATGAAGAAAGCCTTGAACAAGGTGCCGATCGTGCGCAGCAGCCTGCTCACGTCGAGGTCGCAGCGGTCCTCCCGGGGTTAGATCTATATTACTATATATATATAATGCTTTCCACCTGTCCCAAATTATGTTGGAACGGCTGAAACCCCAAATGCTTTACCGTAAACATAATCGAACCGGGGGGGGGGGGGGGGGGGGGGGGGGGGGGTGGGGGGGGGGGGGGGGGGGGGGGGGGGGGGGGCGGGGGGGGGGGGGGGGGGGGGGGGGGGGGGGGGTTGGGGGGGGGGGGGGGGGGGGGTGGGGGGGGGGGGGGGGGGGGCGGGTAACCTAACCCTAAACCCTAAACCCCAGGGCCAGGCTTCCCAGATCGAGGCCTCACATCTTGGGGGCATCAGTCTTGCTGGGCGAAGGTGGTGACACAAAAACGAGAGCAAAGCCGACTACGACGTTTACACATCGATACCGCTTTTTCCCTAATATATATATATATATATATATATATATATATATATATATATATATATATATATATATATTATATATATATATATATATACATATACATATACATATACATATACATATCTGTATATGTATATACATATATATATATATAGATAGTATGTTTGGGCCCTAACTCTACTATATTCTAAAGGACCCCGCGGAGGCTCAAGTCTAACTCTATATACGTAACGTACATGGACCAACTGTTTTCTTTGGCAACAACTCCCACTGATGAGAAGAACATTTAAACACCAGCATCCAGACTCAAAGGTGCTATGGACAATCCTGGTTCAACGCCGGAAGTTCAAAACACGTTGGACCGCAGCTGTGCTTAAGCAGATTAAGAACCTACTGAAAAGTTTAACCATTCCTGCTGTCCTCCTTCTTCGTCTTCTTCCTGTTGATGGCCACGGCCACCACGTGGACAACGGACGCCACCAGCGCCAGAATGAGAACTGCCGAGGTCCTCAAGCCATACTTGGCGACAGGGCTCATCCGCGCCAGGCATGAGATGGCCAGCATGTCCAAATTCAGGCCCATGAACTCGAAGGATCTGAGAATGCGATCCACCGGGTTGTCCCAGGAAAGTCCGAACTTGTTGATCACCGCCAGCTGCTGGGCAACTGTCAGGAGCTGGGCCAGCGACAGTGCGAGCATGGAAATCTGTGCTGCTTGGGTTGTACGGTCCACGTCCACGCCGAGCGAACCGTACAGGAGAGCAATGCAGCCCACGACGGCCACTACCGCAGTTAGGATTACGAGGTACGATGTGCCTGTGCAAGAACCGCAGGTTCCATCGCGCTGTGACTGCATGCCAGGAAGGCAGTCGTAGCATGTGACCGAGGCCGCGTCCCGGCCCTCGGCGCAAGTTCCCGGCAGGCCACCCGGACAGCGCGATCCGTCGCCGAAGCATCGGAAGATGTTCCCAGGCTCTGATGCGGATGCGAAAAAACCGGGGAGCACTTCCACGTCACTTGACCCAGGACAGCGGGAGCCGCTCATGCAGCGTGTGCACTGGCCCTGGCTGCTCATATACCAGCCCTCCACGCAGCCGCAGAATTTATCCGACGTGGCCCCATCAACTTGGATCCACTTCTGTCGGTCAGTTGCCACCACCAAGCGGCTGGTCGTTGACTGATTACCCCCGCCACATGCCATGCATTCAGTGGTTCCGGTCTTGTTGGTATAGTGTCCCGAGGGACATCGTGAGCAGTACGCTTGGCGCTCCTTGTCCGCAAAGGTCCCAACATCGCAAGGGCTGCAGAAGCTCTCCCCAAAGGTGCTTTGCGAGGAGCCAGGGGGACAGGGAACACATCTATGTGTTGGCCCAAGCTCATCCGTGAACTCTTCCGATTTCTCGCCGGCCGCGCATACGCTGCATCCCACAGCTTCTTCTCGGATGAGGACGTGCTCACCCGCACTGTTTTGCAGGCCATAGCCTGTCAAGCACTGCGTCTCGACGGGGACCCAGCTCTCCCACAGGGTTCGTCTGGAACGAATCCACTGACATGCGACATCCTGCATCGGGGTGGTGGTGACCTCAATGAGGAGCTCCTGCATCTCCGAGAAGTCAAGCGCAAAGTTCTCCAGGAATTCGACCACCTTTGGCGCGCGGGCGCGGAGGTCACCAGACACAAACTTGACGATGCCGGCCTGGCCACTCTGAGTCCGGTACAAGTACTCTTTCCATTCGCTAGCCTTGTGTCGCGGAAAAACCATGAACGAAGCATCGGTCTGATAAAAGGTGGCATCCGGCAGCCAGCAATGGAACAGTGTCCGTGCAGTCATGGCCAAGGACGAATATATATGTGCCTGGCTCGCAATCCCAATGGCAAGTGGCATGTTATAGTGAGCCGCCCACTGCATGATCCCGTTCACAAAGAAGCCAGATCCTGTGGCGACTGTCGGAATGCACTTGTCTACATCATGCCGGCAAGCTGGTGAAAGCCAGAAGTACCCGTCTGGGCAGTAGGCAACCAGTTTCCCGTTTGAGGCATTGGTGATGCCAGCCGTGTCGCCGGTCCATCGCAGGTAAGCTTCCATCTGAGAATGCGTCCTAAACATCGTACCACTGGTGTTGCAAGGCAGAAAATCTCCCGGATCAAGGTCAGACAGTCGGTCGAAGAATTGGTTTGCCTGGTGAATGGACACATTGTAGCTCTTGTAGAACTCGAGAGCTAAGCCCGTCGCGCAGAAGGCTGTGCGCCGGACGGCCCCGTTCACGCAGAGCGCGTCCTCGCCAGTGTAGCCAATGGAGCCCAGGTTCTCAGGGCCTAGGCCAGGGTTCCGGGCGTCGAAGGCCATGATTTCAGGGATCTTGTCTGAGATCCAAGCATCCATAGCCACATGGTCGCGCACCTGCCGTCCCGTGCAGTCCTCATCGGTGCAACCAGCTAAGTCGGGAAGTGCATCCAAAGAGCCTGCCAGCCTATGGGGAAGGATCACTGCATGATACCCCAGGACCTCCCTGACGAAGATGTCGGCCATGATGGACGTCAGCTCGGAGGAAGCCCAGTCGAACACCGTGATGCGGATGGGGCTTTCATCCAGGCCCGACGCTGCCTGGCTAGCGGGATCTTGCTGGATGTAGCTCCGGTTAGTCGCAGGGATGCCGTCGGGCAAGCATGCGGTCGTGGAGCCAGATGGGATGATCACCGTGCATGCGCCCAAAAGGCTCAGCAATGACCACGCCGGAGCCACTGGAGAGCGAGGGCCCATGGCTTGGCAAGGCGGCTAGACAACATTTGAGGCGACCTGTGAGTGGCATTTTGCAACGAAGCAGACATAGCGCAACATAGGTAGCCTAATCATGGAAGCCCTTATAAATCTCTCAACGGTGAGGGAATGAAGGAATATCAGGCACCTTGGGTCTAGGGCTTCAGTCTCGTGAAATCCTCGAGCCCAAATGCCAGGTCCTAAGTTGAGTCTCCTCTCTTAGCATCGGCATAGTGTAGCTAGGAAATCATGTACATACACACACATCACCCAGAAACAGATACATGTCCAAACAGACAGGCAATCAGACTAGGTCAAACTGCTGAGCGGACAGTTTCAAGAGGCCTTATCAAATCCAGTCGAGCTTTAGGTTGTGGAAGCTGCATATTTCAGAAAAGATTCGAAGTAAAACACAAAGATGATCCTGTCATGCAGAGCGGCCACAACAAACTCCCCTAAGAGCCCTTATACCGCCTAAACCCCCTTAAGCCCCAAACCGCATCTTGGCCTCAACTCCACAAATCCTAAAGAAGCACTTCCCTAAGCCTTACCCCTGAAACTCGAAACCCTAAACAGGCATCTGGCGCCTCATGGTCCCCACCCTGGTCAGGGTGTGCTGGGCGTGGAGGTTGCGGGAGTTTTGCGGGGATACTGACGTCTCCAGAAGAGCACCGCGATGAGAGCCCAAAAAAAACCGCGTAGGCCCCTGTGGTACTATTTGGGGCTTCTCGACCTGGAATAAGGCGAGGGCTGAACACAGGCGAGGGCTGGCCCTCCCTTTAGAGGACTTCGAGGGCTTCTGGGGGATGCGGATGCGGAGCCCCCTCTGACCCCCCTGAAAAGACTGTAACTTCATCGTCGGGCTGAGCTTCTGGCCCATGAAAAAGGTGCCGTTCCAAAGAGACCCAAAAGAGCCTTCATGGTCGGGCCTCGGGCTCAAGGCCTCACACTCTAACCCATAAAACCTCAAAGGACAACAATCTGCCTTCAAAAGGTGCGAAACTGTATGTGCACACTGTATATCGGTTGCACCACTCCCACACAAAGCAGCCGGAGAGCACTGTGAGCCGAACCGGACCTGACCTCGAAGCTGCAGATATGCTACCCAGAGACGTCATGAAGAAGCTCAGAAACACGACGCGGCCTTGAAACATCTCAAGATCGAAGATGTCCCCCTTCCATGCGGAAAGCAATTAAGAGACAAATCGTCTTCGTGTTGTAGCACCTAAACTGGGCCCACACTAGATGACAATGTCAGAATGATCGTTATAGACTGCAAAGTTGTGCAACGCACATCCAATCTGCAGCTCGCGTTCTGAATGCTCTGAGACCACCGTTCTGAGTTCTGACGGCTCCGAGGAAAAATCTGCGTACAGAGAGCAAAGCGACATGGATTACTAGCCAAAAGTTCCTTCCTCATCCCTTTTTGCATCTCTCAACGTCTTCCAGTTCAAGCGCTGCGTCCACCGAGGCAGCTTCAAGAACGGGACATAGGGCGCCTGCATGCCAGCTGCAGTGGTTCCAGCGGATGCTGTTTCAACTGTTTGTCAGAGCCGGGGTGGATACCTGACTGTGAGAGAGAGACTTCTTGGAAATCCGCTCAACATCACCGGGACCCCTCTGCTCGAGGCATGAATCCAAGAATGGCCTTTATCAGAGTAACGAACGCTGCGAACCGAAGAACTTCTTCATGGGTTGCATTGCACATGACGTCGAAAATGCGGCTTGCCAAAACAACGAAAGCTTCGGAGGAAGTCGTCGCCCGATCCTGCAAACAAGACACCGGCTGAATTCCTTCCATTCCTTCTGCGTGGTTCTTCTTGCGGCTATTGGTGGTGGTTCTGTCGACAGATGAACGAGGAGTCGCACTTGAAAGCGCCCTGGCCGAGGCGTGGGGGTGCGAAGCACTCTGTAGACGACGACGACGACGACGACTACAGACTACAGACTACAGACTACACACGACATACTACATACCACATACTACATACAGAAGCCGACTGCGGTTGCTCATCGACGTTTAGCTTGTGAAAACTCGCAAGAGAGGGGAGAAGCGGAATTTCGATAAAGAAGAAGAGAGCGAAGATCCTTGGGGATCGTCGCACTTTAGACAACACAATCAAAAGCAACTGTAGCTCTTGCAAAGGCCAGGGAAATCCGTTCAATAGCCGGAGAGTGTGCTCTCTCTAGGCTCCTCTTGCGAGCGGATACTCGCAAGGTACTGCACAATTTACAATTCCTCACCGTTACAGGGACACAGTGGGCTCTCTCCCCTTGAAGGCTGTGCGCCAGCCAGCCTGAATGAAAGCAAGCAAAATCGCACTGGGGGGAAGAAAGGAAACAACAGGAAGGAAACAAAAAAGGAACAGAAGGGAAGAAAACAGAAAGGGAAAGAAGAAAAAAAACTGGAAGAGAGATGGCCCGAAAGCATCGATTTGCCGTGCGTTGACTCCATGCACTTGACTGTTTGCAGTAGAACTGTATGCACTTGAAAGTGTATGCACTTGTATGGTTGCACATTCACTTGTGTACTGCACTTCTACTGTGCTATGCGGTAGAACTGCATCAATCAACTCTATACATCTGAAGTAACGGACTGAACTCACACTTTTTACCTAATTGCACTTGATGTACTTCACTTCTGCACCCGACTCGGCTGCGCACGTCCCGTCCAAACCAGGCCAAGCCATAGAAAAAGACAAAAACATCCAAAGCATGGCTGTCCGCCATGAGCATCATCGGCAGTCGCTCTGCGTCTAGACGCTCAGGAAGCAAGAAGTCCATGCACGCATGTAGAGCACCATAGGGCACCTGCCCGTTCTTTTCCCTATAACTCCATGACTTACGGTCATGGCCTCTGGATTCAGCACCTCTGCATGCGTCAGAATTCCATGGCCAGCCCCATGCCATAACTCATGGGACACTCTCACAAGCTCCATTTTCGAATCTCAGCGGAATGGCAATCTCATCACTCTGAGGTGGCCGTTGTTGGTCAAGATCCGCACCCAATGTGATCCTGATCCAACCTCAGGTCCAAGATACGCTCCTTTCACCATCCGGTTGCTTGACTTCGTCAGATAGACACGATGTTCATGTGGCGACCAACAACGGCGATCCGACGCCTGTGTGCATCTCGAGAACCCCTTCTCGGAACGAGAGAAGCTGCTGTCCGACCTCCAGCAATCCCATGGCTCTCGCCTGCCATGTTCGCCGCACCATGGCTGGTCTAGGGCTGCAAGCCGCAGACTCCGCCTTCTAGGGGGCTTGTGTTGCGCGTGTCAGTTCTCTCTCTTAGACAGAAGTCCCCACACCGCGCTACAACACAGCAGAGAGGATCCAGGATCTGAGTTTGAGGAGTGTGGTTCTAGGAGCCTCGGACGCTAAAATGCATCAGAGTGCAGTTTCAGGTCTCACAGGAGCATCGCTGTGGCCGATTTTAAGGCCAGAAAATTTGCGAGTGAGGAATCGCAACAGGATGCAGTTCTGAGGCTGCGGAGTTGTGGAGTGTAACAGCGTGGAACTCCACAACTCCGCAGCCTCAGAACTGCATCCTGTTGCGATTCCTCACTCGCAAATTTTCTGGCCTTAAAATCGGCCACAGCGATGCTCCTGTGAGACCTGAAACTGCACTCTGATGCATTTTAGCGTCCGAGGCTCCTAGAACCACACTCCTCAAACTCAGATCCTGGATCCTCTCTGCTGTGTTGTAGCGCGGTGTGGGGACTTCTGTCTAAGAGAGAGGCTTCATGATGCCGTCGTGATGCGGCAAAAAATGTTCACATGCACATGCCGCGTGACGCGTTCATTTGTGCATGTCGCGAAACGCGTTCACTTGCACATGCCGCGTGACGCGTTTCTTTTTGCATGCCGCGTGACGCGTTCATTTGTGCATGTCGCGAAACGCGTTCACTTGCACACGCCGCGTGACGCGTTTCTTTTTGCATGCCGCGTGACGCGTTCATTTGTGCATGCCCGACCCGTTTTCCTGATGTGAACGAGAAAGTCGTTAAGGTTGGGTGTGTAGGGGGGAGATGGGGAACTATTGCCGAGAGCGGTGCGGTGGCGGCGGTGCGGCGCGGTGCACGCGGGGGAGATGGGGAGCTTTTGCCGAGAGCGGTGCGGTGCGGCGGTGCGGCGGCGGCGGTGGGGTGCATGCGGGGGAGATGGGGCTTTAGCCGAGAGCGGTGGCGGCGGTGCGGCGGCGCGGTGCGGTGGCGCGGTGCATGCGGGGGAGATGGGGAACTCTGGCCGAGAGCGGCGCGGCGGTGGCGCGGTGCGGCGGTGCGGTGGTGGTGCGGCGCGGTGCGGTGGCGCGGTGCGGCGGTGCGGTGCGGCGGTGCGGTGGCGCGGTGCGGTGGCGCGGCGCGGTGCGATGCGGTGCGGCGCGGTGCGAAAACTTGAAACTGATGATGAAACAGGTCAGGCTGAGCAAATCTTTACTGCTCCGGATGGTGCTCAGTATATGTTCATGATGTACGAGAAAGGGCTTCCGACTGAGAGGATTGCCATCTGTGAGTGGCTCGGCACGAAGAGGGGCTGTCAGCTCCTGCAGGTGTCCTCGAAGGGCCTGGCTTCAGAAGCCAGGGCTGTGATTGCTGGGGAGCTCATGGACATGCTGGTTGCTGGCAAATCCTTGGAAGATCTGAAAGCCCGGAAGTTGGAGCTACTTTCGGCCGTGTAATGTCTAACTCCCCTGTTCCTTTCTTGGTGTTACACAGAGAGTTGTGGGTCAGGGCGCAAAATCGCGTGCACCCGTGTGCTCTCTCAATTCTTATGACTTATGAACCCAAAAAGAGCATTGCGCCCGGACTCTTGGCAGGCACCCGGATGCTTGCAGAAGCTTGTCCAGCTGCTGAGGAAGGCTCGACACCTGTCTGTCTGTTTGTTGGAGAGCAGCACTTATAGATCTGTGGCTGTTAAACCCTACAGCCTAAACCCTAAACCCTAAACCCTATAAACCCAAAACCCTAAACCCTAAACCCGAAACCCTAAACCCTAAACCC